CAGATTTTTTTATTTATTTTTTTTTTCATATTCAGCAATAAAAAAACAACAATTTTTTATGTTTTCGGTAATTGCATATTTCACTCCATAATTGCGCTTTTTACAAAAAAATTAAGTATGCAGTTTTGTAGCGCATTTTCTCCATACAAAGTGTGCTCGACAAATTTTTAATACAAATAAAAAATGCCTACCACCGACAAAAAAAAAAAATTCTAAAAATTAACGATATTTTGCAGCCACTTGAAGCTTGCACTTTATTGTGCTAAAACTGCATCCCCGAAATTTTTCTAGAAAATATTGTTAACGTATACACGGCCTCCCACTTGTATGCTTTGAAATACTTTCATTTTTATACCTTTCATGAGCATGAAATGGTATTATAACTTTGGTCCGATGTTTGTAAGTACCAGAACAAAAAGAGATAGACCCATCAAAATGTATACTTATATGATCAGAACGTCGAGCTGAGTTGATTTATCCATGTCCGTCTGTCCGTCTGTCCGTCTGTCCGTCTGTCCGTCTGTCCGTCTGTCTGTCTGTTTGTATGCAATCTAGTCTCTCAGTTTTCGAGATATCCGGATCAAATTTGGTAGGTGGGTGTATTTTTATAATGTATTAATCATTTGTCGGAACCGGAAGAATCGGACCACTATAACATATAGCTCCCATACAACTGATTGTTCAGATATGAGATTTTTCATTATAACTTCTCCATTTATGCAGCTACGAACATGAAATTTTGCAATACTTGCACCCATTATCAACAGAATACTTACAGTGAAAATTACAAAGATCGGGTCACTATAACCTATAGCTCCCATACAACTGATTGTTCAGATATGAGATTTTTCGTTATAACTCCTCCATTTATACAGCTAGGACCATGAAATTTCGCACCATTTTCACTCATTATTAACAGAATACTTACAGTGAAAATAACAAGGATCGGATGACTACAACATATATCTTCCATACATCTGATTGTTCAGATATGGGATTTTACTGTAAAACTCCTTTATTTGAACAGCTAAAACCGATAAATTTCGTAAGATATTTTATAAATAATAATACAAAGTCTACTGAGAAAATCGTCAAAATCTATGCTGTATAAGCTTTATCTCCTATAGCACTGATTGTTCAGATACCAGTTTTTGCGATATATCTCCTTTATGTAGGAAACTAAACCCAATAAATTGTGTTACCGGTTTACATACCGATCACATAGCAGTGAAAATCACTTAGATTGGTGCCATATAAAGTATATCTTCCATACCTCTGATTGTTTAGATGCGATTTTTTATATAAGTATGTAACTCCTCTATCGATGTATGCAGATGTATTCAAAAGCAGTAATCTGTCAAAGTAAAATTTGCAGATGTTCATGAAAGGTATGAAGCCTTCGGCATAGCCGAAGACAGCGCTGCTCTTACTTGTTTCAATATCATTTTGCTCCAATTTGCGCTTTGGCTATCTTTTGTTAAATAAACTAGCGCAAATACTCTAATTTACAGCTAGATGCAATATCCAAGCTCACTTCATTTTTTGTGCTAGCCTCAAATTCAAATTTGATTAAAATTTTTTAGATTCTCTAATGCAATTTTATATGCATCAATAGAGAAAAAATGGCGACTCTCGATTTTTTTTGGATTAACTCACGGATCGAATCGGAACTAAAAAGTCGTCGCTAAAAATCGAATGGGCAGGGCTTAAATAAATCGATTTAAAAACGGCATCCCTACTTTCTCCCTACTTATTAGCAAATCGAGGAGTTATATGGAAATTGTATGCAAAAAGGCAGATTCAGCGTGTCACTAGTGGCAGCAAGACTCAGCCAATTACCTACATACCATAAGTACATACTTAGTTAGTAACAGTTTGTATGCCGCTGCTTCGTCGTTGCTTGCAGCCTAAGCGTTGTGGGTGCTGCGCTTAGCCAGTGCGGGCAATTCACAATTCACGGTTTAGCAAGCACGGCAAGCATGATGAGAGTGCGCATAGCCCAGCTGCAAGTATGCTTGCTGCATTTCGGATTTTGCATTCGGTATTCTTCATTTTCAATGCGTTTCAATCGTTCAGCATTCAGCATTGGATTTGTTTGCAGCATCATTAACACGTAAAGTTGCTTGAAATGCACAAACATAGTACGAACAAAATTGGAAACAGAAACACTCAACTGCACAGTAACTCGTACTCACTCTCGCCCATCCATCCATCCCGTCCTTTAATAGACATCCAGTTGCTTTTCACCCAGTCATTCATCCATTCGTTGCGCTCCAACTCATTTGCTCATTCATTGTGCTGAAACTGTTGAATTTACGGCTCGCATGTGGCTGCGATAATTGGTGTTTGAAGAAGGCTGTTGCTTGCCTCTTTTGCCGAGGTAGATATGTGTATTTATTGCATTATTGTGAAAGGAGGAGGTTATCAATATGGCTGCGGAACAACTTGTATTTATTTTTTGTTAAGCACAGAGTCTCTCGGGCCTCTCACTGAGCCCCTATGGGGCCGAGAAGGCAGTCATTAAAGTCAACCAGACCCACTCCACCTAGGGAGGAAGAAGTCACTTAGTTATATATTCTAAGAATCTGGTCAAACGACCTGTTCTGTGACGGTTCTGTGACACTGCCAGGGAGACAACATTACACCTTCTTCTGCAGTGTATGACTGTTTCAAGCAGCAGGGAGAGGGCATCTTTGGCCAGGAGAGGATCTATTCTGGAATTTAAAGAGTCCCTGGGGCTGACTGAAGTGCTTTTGAGGGCACAATAGACCTATCTACTTGTCGCAGTGTGTCATTTATCTTATCTATCTATGGTCCGCCTATACCAGAGGTTGTTATTGACGAAATGGCTGAGTTGAAGAATGCCGGTCGACGCATGGAATGAGAATCCGTCATGTCAGACAATAACAGCGCTATTGGCCCGCTGTCGAAAGCGGAATCGGACATCAGCATTGGTCCTCTGTTCGATGCAGCATTTCTGAATCAGCCTTCGGCTTTGGACAGCGAGAGGTTATGGTGAAGACCGCTAACGATAAATTTTATTCGGAGTTATCTACAGCACTACAAGGAGGAGGTATTTAATCTCAGCCTGAACTCTTCCTATCTGGTGCAGGTTCTTACAGGAATGTGAGGAGGAAAAAATTGGGATCTGCACTGCATAAGGCTGTATCATACCGCCCAACCGCAAAAGTCTGCGAAAGTATCGAATTGCTGGCTAGCCCATTTTACGAGAGCTGCTTAAGGAAGAAACTATATTCTTAAACTCTCATGCTCGAGGCGTCAAGGTCTAACGTGTGTCCCCAATTAGAATCTTATCGTTTCTTTTAAAAGCGCTTGAAGGACTGATTAATATGCACATAAGAAGCGGAATCTCAAGAGAACGGTGTTCCTCAAACCAGCATGCCTACTGCAAGTGCAAATCGGTAGAGAATCAGCTTTACACACAATTGTAGAGAGCATGGGACCGACCTTCTTGCAAAAGGAAAACGCGGTTGATGCCTTGATCGATTTCAATAACGTCTTGCCTGAGTGAATTGCAAACTCTCTAAATGAAATGGATGGCAAGGTAGACCTAGTAAACAGGACTCTAGCGCTAGAGAAGTACGCCATGAGGGGGAGTCCCATCTCCTCTACGTTGGGCCGTTGTTGTCAATTGATCTGGATGGATCTGATGGAGAACAGTACAAAAGTGGCTTGATGGCTCTATGCAACCATCATTAAATCAGATTTGATATATGGGTTGGTCGTATGGCAGAACGCACTAAATAAATCTATGGTCAAGCCGTTCGAGAGTGCAATGTTCTTACTTGAAATCAGTGGGGAATTTCCGAACATCCCTGAGGTTATCAAATTTGCAATCATAATATCTCCATTCCAAATGCTTTTCAGGGTTCAACTTTTTGCTAATACATATATAACGTACCTATTGCACGTAGTCGTTTTTCAGATAAAAGGCACATACAGTTGTAGGACGCGAAAAAAATTTTTAAATAATCAACATAACTACTAAGACGTATATGGATTTCATTTTAATTTTTCCACCTTTAAACTTTAACTTTAAACATACGCGTTGCTCGTTATATTGACTTTACAAAAAAAAAAATTAAAAGATAATTAACATTTTGTTTTATTTGCAAGAGAACCTCATACCAGTTTTTTTTAATTCAATTTTTATTTGGTGTTTCCAAAATTATGTTAAAAAATGGGGTTCTTCTCTTACGACCTTCTCTGTAAAAAAGGTGGAAGATGAATCGAAATACATATGCTGTAGTAATACAGAAAATATCCTATTCCATTAAATCATGTAAAACCTTGGTCCCCAAACTCTAAAAAAAACAGCGCAGAAAAATGAACAAAACAAGTGTAAAATTCACTGTTCGATTTATCGAACATTCGGCCGATATGCGTTTAGTTTTATTAACACCTGCCAATTCTCTTCTCATAAGCTTCCGCACAATTCTGTTAATCGCATGCCGTTGATGAATTTAAACCCACATTTCAGACATGCTAGCTGTTTGTTGTTGTTGTTTTACATTAGGTTACGGCTGCATTTATGTATATGTACATATTTACTGCAACCACTTGTCGATGTGATCAACGATTTCATAAGTGATTGCATAATTAAAATGACAATATCCCAATAGAAATAGGGAAGGCTAGATGTAAAATCAAAATCGGTGTGCAAATTAAAAATGCAGCAACATCCGCTCATCAACACTGCAGTGCGGTACGGCACTACGACACGATACGGTGCCGCACAATACGGGTTAGCACGGCACAATGGACCGTAAAAGCAAATTGTAGTGGTGTCGTTTTTAATTAATTCCCACAAGGAATTCCCAAGGATACTTCAATATGCAAGCTGCAAATGCGGCAAAAGCGACGACCGCCTGCCTAGCCTTGAACATCAACAACAACTTGTTTTACGTGCCACTAAATTTAGTAGTGAAAATTTGAAAGAACAAAAAAAATACTATAATACGTATAAGCTCTGCGCTCACCTGCTCCTCCTCCGGTGTCGATGACGATGAATCCACTCTAGCCATGCAAGCTGCAGAGCCACCCTGGCAACCCAAACCAAATTTCGGCACCAACGGACGGCAGACATTCAAAAAGAACTGCAAAAGCAGAATAAGAAGCAGAAGAGAGACATTTAAAACTTGTTGGAATGAAAATGAAATGCAAATGTGTTGAGCTGCTGCAACTAAGTGCAGAAGACATTATTTGACAAGCAAATGCTGCTACAGCAGCACAACGATAACGGCAACGACAGCTGCTAACACAAAAACACACAGCTACACACACACAAATACAAATGAAGGCCTCTCACCTTAGTGGATTTGGGCACTTGTTGTTCCGTTATTGATGCGGTATTAATTTTGGCCTCATAGTTATCGGTTGCACTAATCAACGGCGTCAAATCGACCCACTCCTCACCGGTGCCATCCTCCGAATGATCAACATAGACTTTAACTTTGCAGTTAATCTGCTCTTGACAGGCCAATGGCGTTTGAACGTGAATTAGTAGTTGGCAATTCTTATTTTCAATTATTTTCGCATTCATGGCAATGTCGCCGGCTTTTGTGCTGTTTCCACTGCTGGTGCCACTGCTGTCCATAGTCTTATTGTCCTTTGTGGCATTGTTTGCGCAGACAAACTCAATTTTCGTCGACCATTTCGTTTGGTCATCACATTGCGCTCCATCGGTGTATAGCAGATACGGTGAACCGGAATGATTAAAACGCAATTGCGAGTTGATTTGACCCAGAGTAGTGGTTTGTGTGCCCTCCATAAGGCAAGCACCTAGCGGATGATGAAATTTGGGAAATAATTAAAGCTTTTTAGTAGATGTAAATTATTGTTTAATTTGAAAGTTTAATTTAAGTTTAAGAATATTGATGCACAGATATATTGTTTTTATTTGAATAAACGGTTTGCAAATTAAATTTGTGTTTTTTTTTTCATAATAGGAGTGGTGACCAAATGAATCAGCAAAAAAAATAGATATCTAAATCAACTTTGAGCATTCCAAATCAATTTTGGGTTCAACAAATTCTTCCATATCTCGAGCCTGGGTGAAAACATGAAGCGCGAGTCTACTTCTTGCTCACTTGCCATGGATATGAATATTGGAAAAAAACTTACATGATCTACCAATGGCGTATGAACCAATTAGCCTCGGCTCCTCTTTAATCACAGTTTGACAATCTTAAAATACGACGATCAGTGTAAGGTATAGGAAAAAATGGACGAAATCAAATATCTCGAGAACCAGAAGAGATAGCAAAATAAATGTAAGAATATTTTTAAACTTTTGATATGCAGAATCCAGGAAAGACAGTCTAAAAAAATAACATTGACCTTTGAAATTACCTTCAAATATAGTAATTTGCAAACCAGTATGCAAAGTTTTAAAAACATATTTTTACTATTCGTGCATCAGGAAATGGATTTTCAGGGTCACAAGAGTCGAAAAACGCATTATAATTTTTTTTAAAGCTCATTACTACTTGTGTTTTTTTGTTAGTAAAAAAGAACAAAAGTTTTGAGTTTTCAAATACCGTTACATTTATTGTGCTATCTCTTCTCGTTCTCGAGATATTTGATTTTGTTCTTTTTTTTACAAAATCGGTGCCCTGCTCTGGTGGCCCGTACCATCAATATAGTAGTTAGTAAACTAAGAAGCATAAAAAGGGCAGCAGGAACAGAAGTAACGGTTGCACTAAGATTCTGGCCGACAGAAGCTCAACCTAATCCTTATCAATATTCACAGGAAAAAGTGGCTATGAGCGGGGAAGTTGGCACTTCAGACATGGGTATCTAATTAAATAAATTCAATTAGGAAGGACGACAGACTATATGGTAGACAATATAGGTTTCAGATATAGCAAACACGTGCTATTCTCATCCAAAAGAGAATGTAGAAGAGACCGAGTGGCCGAATCCAAACATGGATTCAAGATGGACTGCAGGTTACAAGCGTCTTCTAACCGGAAGTTCTAAGTATCCTGGAAGGTTGTACAATTTTAGATAGTACGAGTCGGGTACCAAAAAACACTGCCACATATTCTGACAGCCAGACGTCGCTATTGACACAGGGATTTGTGTGGCCGGCATTGATCTAAACTGTTAAATTGAAGCGTCAGGCAATAAGCTGTGAGCAAATTGGCTAAGAAAAATCTTGATATGGCAAAATCTCTAAACAAGGATCAGCTACGATTTTGGGTTTAAGGATTTTTCAACTCCTTAAAAAGAACACCTTTCGTTGGTCAAATGAAACACCATTTTCGTAAAACCTAAAACTGCTTGAAGCTCACAATGCACTACAGCATTGGTTTGTTACGATCAAATTACTTCACATAAATCAATCAAGCTTGAGAAGGGATGACAGTTCCACGTTACATCATAAATCAAGTGCTTTTAGACTCGCTTTCATAATTTCTATAGATACTCGATTAGCATGCGTACGTACTTTTTGTACTTGATTTCGAAATAAATGGTTGCATACCTTTAGGCATTATTTTGAAAAATTTCCTCAACAGTGGCAGCCAAAATAAATTGCCAGTATGTTTTGTCTTCATTTGGTTCTTTCTTGATTCATAATAAATTATCTCATTTCTATTTAATTTAGTGGCAGATGTTGCAAGGCGAAATAACCTGATTTGCTTATAAATTACAAATGAGCCGTAAATTGCGGTAATGTAAACACGCTTTGACCTAACCTAACATAAACCACCAACTCGCTGACAAATTGTGGGCAGGAAGGGCCTACTCAACTCACTTTCAAAGGATTTATTTTGCTGGAACATTTTTTTTTAATGCTGTTTCCGAAGCGGAAGTGATGTAAATTTTGTTGGAAATTATAAAAAATAAAAATTAGAAACAAATCCTTACATGCGCTTGTACAAATTTATGTATATTTAATTACTTTTGAGAACATGTCAAAATCCATTAAAATTTAACAGATAAAGTGTCAAATGAATGCTATTTAAACTTGTTCGATTTACGGTTTACAAGTTTCTAAACTAGAATTTCAAACAAACAATCAGATACTTTTAACATATTTACAAATATACATACATACATATATGTAACTCCACTCCCCCACTGACTGTCACTTTAACTCCTCCCAATAGTCACTAACTCAGACAACACTCAATTTATTTCAATTGCTTGAATTTGATTGAGTGCTGGTTGGTTGTCTGGCCGACACCAACTGCTTGTTAAGCCACCCCCCATATTCCCCATATTCTCTCCTTCCCAACAAATACATCCGAATTACTCCACTTCGCACGATGTAGCCCACTTGAAGGTTGTCTCTTCTAAATACACGCAAGCACAGCAATATACAGGCTTATGTATGTATATAAATTACTCTGTAAGAAATCTGAAATTAGGTATTTCGTAACTAATTTAAAGGGAAGCCGAATTTTATTTTTTAAGCCCAATTTCTTTAAATACTTAATAGTTATCTTCTAAGGTTTTTATTTATTCAGATTCCAAAAAACACCCCCAACAACTAAAATAAACCTTTTAAATTCGCCAAGAAAAATTTCTTATTGAAAAAATTAAAGCTACTTTAAAATAAAATACATATAAATAGAAAAAAATATTGTCCCAAAAACAAGACCAACTGGCATTCGATTTTGTGTATTTTGCTTTCGCTCTTAAAACTTTTAAATTATTCGATCCTAGAGTTCTGTTTAAAGGTATCTAATAGTCCGATCTAAATAAACATCTCTATCTTCAAGAAGCGTCATAACCGACGACATTATTCTAGGTCAAGGAAATTCTGGAAATAAGACATTAGTACTCACTAATAAAATTTTCGGGATTACCGTAGTTTTGCGAGCGAAAATCTTGATTTAAAACATATATGTCTTTTTAGTGTATATTAGACCATACCAGAAAAAGTTCTTAAAGTATTTTTGCAAGGCAATTTTGCTGAACGTAGGGGTCGCCTCTTGTTATTTTTCGAAATATCTTCGGCATTTACGGTCGGATCTTAAAGTATGATATATCAATGTTCTTGCCTCGAGGAAAAAATTGCTTAGTTCCAAAGCTCATTATCTCGGGGTACTTGAGGTACTTACCCACCAAATCTCAGTTCCTACCATTCTAATGTCAGTAAAATTAAAGCTCACCAAAAATCATTAACCTTTGCTAAAAAAGTTTTTTGATTATTCCAAAAGAGCTACGAGTATTTAAAAAAAAACGTTATTGTTAAATATAGTAGGTGTCACAAAAAACGTAAAATCCGAAAAAAAATGTTGTTTCGAAATATACATACATATATACATTTTCCTCTGAAATATTCCCGACTGCACAACTTGAAACCAAATGTTCAAGAGTTTGTTAATTTTTTCTCACAGGGTAATGACCGCATGCAAAAGCGACTGAATCAATTCTAGTGATGTTGCGGAATCGAAAATAAATTGACTGTCAACTAAATTGATAAATGACAATGTAGATTTGTTACACGTACATAGATTTAGAGTGCGACTCATGGTGTGGCACGTTATGATGGCTGCCGGCGCGGTGTGTTCGGGTTTAGAGGACTTACCAGCTACACGGCAAATGGTTTTTTTATAAAACCAATGCAGTGCGCCTAGATATAGTGTGATTTACATATAAATACTTATGTACGTGCATACATTCCTAACGTTAGGTGTGCTTCGGTTAGGACAAAGTTGGTAGTGGGCAAATAAAGAGCGACTTGTTACGCCTGAATTTTATGAATGGGTTTGCAGCTCCTCAATAGGAGATCTAATTGAATTTTTGTTCAACTTGATGGCCTAAAGTTGATAAAGGAATGATAGAGAAATGAAATTTAAGCTCTAACAATTACATACATTTATATATTTTCATTGCTTAAGGCTACTAGAACCTTATTAGAGAATGGTATTTCTTACAAAATGACAAGTTTTTTAGTAACGGTATCTTGGCCAACAGAAGCTGGGGTGGAAAAGTCGACTCTGACTTTAGTCAAGAATCTACTATTTGCTGGAAATACGCGAGAACAAAATGTGTGCTTAAAGGTCAGATAAATTGTAAAACCTACTTGAGAAAATGGCATTTAGTCTTTGGTGGTAACTTAATTACCTAATTTGTAAGTTTTAGTATCCTCTTACAGTAGTGTAGACCCAATGTAATTGAATTTATCAGTATTATAGCGTATTATGGCAATACTGCCACTTCAATTATGTAACATTCAAAATATGGCAATCAAATATTTAATTAAACGGCGTTCAGCAGCGAGCGTTCAATACTACACAAAATTTTATAATGAAGATAAATCAGTCAATGAATATACTTATGTATGTGGTTTTCTGAATTATTTAATTTCAAATTTCAATGCCGAACCACGTGCAATTAATTGATAAAATATTTTTTTTTTTAATTATTAAAAATAATAATTTTGTGTTCATTCCTTAATAATATTTTTTTTTTATTTAAAAAAATGCAATTTAAGCAATAAAGTCCAATATCAGGGGTGATTAATCGAATTTAAGAATCCAAAACTTGTCTATTCTGAAGTCAATAATCGATTCTGCGCGCTCTTTTTCCATCCCTGGTTCTGACAGTTCTACTCTGTTATTATTATTATACTTTTTATAGAAAATTCAGCCGCTACCAGACCAAAGGAGTTACGGGCTTTAGTTTGCCGGAGATATGGTGCATTCGAAAACGGGCAAAGAAAATTACTAAAAACTCGCGCGTGCTTTCACCGGACACTGACCCATGGATGGGTGGGTATACAATTCCACGGCAGCTTTTCCTTCGCCGGGCACTTGCAAAAGTAA